CACTCGTCCATTCTTTCAGTAGATATATTTTATGCTGTGTTTAGTGAATAAAAACTTGGTGCCCAGTCACATACCATGTCTTGAATTTTTGCAGATCATTCCAGTAGATAGACGGATTACACAAACACAATAAATGAGCGCGTATTTTATACCGTTATAATTTACTTTATGGTAGTAGAGGTGTGCAAATAATCGGTTAATTTTTGTTGTATTTTTCCTTGAACCGTTATATGAACCGGTATGAAGCGGTTCAAACTAGTTCGAATTGTTATTTTTTCTGCTCCGTAGTTGAACCTCACCCGAACCAAAGTATTTGAACCGTAACCTGAACCGAACCAAAAAAAGTTTCGGTTCGACACACTGCTTTGTACGCGCATCCATGTGCGGGACCTTCAGGCCCCTTCAACGTCCTCTCAGACCTGGTCCACCGGGGTCCTTTTGAAGGATCCCGCGCTCTAGTTTCCACTGCCCGGATATGGCTGGTTTGAATAAAGTTGCATCTGTCTTTCTCTCGAAAAAGTCTCCGAGCGCTTCTGGTACTGTCTTTTTTTTTTTTTCTTTCTTTTTTCTCGGCCAGGGTGCGCGAGTATGTTGGAAAGAAGCGGCCACGAAACAGCCCTTACATAAAAATTGAGCGAGGGAGTATCCAATTTAAATGCAGAATTGTGGATTCAGTAAATAGATTACTTATTGAACGTGTATCTAACTTTTTATCGCGTTTCTTGAGCTAATTGGCCGACCACTGGGTTTCGAAAAGCTGTAGACACAAGTGTCTAAAATTCAGATAGAATGCCTGTAGACCATTTATCCAATGTTAAGACATATTAGTGTATACCTTTTGTATCCAAATAGAGGTGCCAATTAACTGAAAAAAGTCGTTAAAAATGGAGATACATTGTGGATAGCAAATACTGCTAGAATGTCTGTAGATCTTCTATTCAAAGTCGAGACACTTCAGTCTACAGCTTTTCGATCCCGAGTGGTCGGCCAATTAGCTCAAGGAACGCGATAAAAAGGTGGATACATTGTGAATAGAAAAGGTTTTCTAGAACTCCTGTAAACTTTTATTCTGGAATTTTCAGACATTTATGCTTATATCGTGTGTATCTAAAGTGGCCGGCCCCGGCTGATGTCGTCCTCCGTGTCCACCGCTGCCATCTTTAGGTTGTACTCCAGAGGCCCCATTCACAAACGTACAAACGCCTGAGGACTTTAGTGTTCCGTGACGACGACACATGAAAAATATCCATCAGGCCCTTCATGTGGTCTTGGATGAGTGCTTCCTGGCTTCCGAACGTCTTTCACAGGAGGTCCAAGGCGTCGGAGTAGCACTGTATGGTGGGGTGTTAAGGCCAGCAATGGCAGATGCTCCATCGCCACTCAGCGCTGATCGCAGGTAGTTGAACCTTTACGCCGGCGATAGGTCTGAGTTCAGATGTGTGGCGCTCTCGAACTGGTCCCAAAAAGGCTGCCATTTCTTATGTTGACCGTTGAATTTCAGAAGTTCGTTGGCGTTGGCGATCTGTTTGTGCTTCCGACTAGGTTACCTTCGTTGGATAAATTGCCGCGTTCCACTCTGCATCTTAGCTGCCTCTTCAGCTTTTTCATGTAGGTCACGATTTTCTATGCATATTTGAGAACGTGGGTGAATTTGAGGTCTCCGTCCTGCTCCGAAATGAGCGGCTCGATGGTGGCGTCGGCGGTGTTAAGTTCACCCTGCTCTAGGGCCAGTCGTTCGATGAGTAGCTTTAGGTCCTCGCTGTTGGGTTGCACGCACTGTAGGAACGCTTCAACGTCGTTCACAAGCCTCGTCACTTGTAACCGAATCGCCTTGCGCTTTTTCTTGTGAACTTCCCTGCTGTCGTTCTAGTAGAAGGAAGAATCACTCACTTTTCTTTCGGCGTTCGAAGTGTTCGCAGTGCTGTAATCCCGGGTTTCTAGCACCAACTTTTCTGTTGCAGTTGTTGTCTCTTGCTGGCAGATGAGGCGCTCCGTTGAGTACAACAACACTTATATTATCTCTATTGCGAACAACTTTCGTTCAATAGTCAAAATGGCGTGCGTACAGATTCGTTTTCCATTCCAATCTGTGCTGCAACAGAACGGAATGGCAAGCTTCTTGCCGTATCCTCTTTGTCCTTTTTCCCTCTGCTTCTCCGAGGGAGAGGAGGACCCCCACCGCCACAGGCAACCGATGTCACCCTGTGCGTGGGACAAAACCGGTTTGACTGACACGGACGGCTACAGCGCGATAGAAACCGCTGTCTGGAGGGACTCGCTTTTCCCCCGTGGTTGCGTTCGTCCCGAATCTGAGAGTCTCTGTTTAACGTCAAAACACAGTTTTTTTGTTAGCTACGCCAAATTTTTAAATAAAGGGGGGAAAAGTAATATGAATGCGGTTTTCACGGCGTGTTTATATGGCTCGACGGACATTAGATGGGAATATAACCATCACTATTATCATAATAATCAGCTAAAATTTGGTATTTAGCTTTTTAATTACTGTAATTAGTATATATGTTTATATTAAAAACTTTGAGGCGGTCGTATGCCAAGAATTTCATTTTGTATAATTCGCGTAACCAGAGTGTGTTCCGCGATGTTGCACCCCGAATTTCGCACTTTTATATGGCTAATGTAGCAAAAGCAGTTCGCGGCAGAGCAAAACAAGATCGCCTGAGCTTCCTACCATTGTGTCTGAAGCTTAGGAAGTCTCATTTTTTTTTAAATTGTGACAAGCAACAGTTGCATCTGCTCTGCTTTATGGACCAAGATGGCGGTGTCCACTATAGCATACCGGAGAACGAAGTACCGGTACTCTAAACGTAGCTCATTTACTGGCTGTAGTATGATGTATTCGCAGGGTAACTGCGCCTTAACGATAACTCTAAGCTTCCACACCGCTTTGTACGCACACCTTACAGTTGTGGATCGCAATGATAAGCAGCCAGGAGAACAGCCCGTGATGTCACGGCAAGGAAAATGCTGGCCGTGAGGTCACTTGCGTAAACATTAACAGGGCGCGACCGGAATTATGTCTTGTCGCGAAGAGGGGGCTCATCCAGCGTCCTTAGAGGGACAATGCCAATGGTATCTATTCTCGCCAAGGATTTTAGGTGTACATGACTTATGAGAGCACAACTACTCAGAAGACAATTTGCGGCTCGAAATTTGTTTTCTTTCCGCCCGAAACTCGCCGATCAAAAACTGGCCGGTTTTAGTCGCGCTCGCTATCGTCTCTGTGGTCACGTGGCGTTTTCTAGGATTTAGACGCAACCACTAACGATAATCAAAGTCATCGGTCACCGAAGGCACACACTCAATATTAAAAATAGAAAACAAAATATGATACCCATATTTTGTGGCTTCTAACAAGATGCGGATACGTTGATTGAAAAAAGTTGCACAGATACGTAACTTCCGGCAACACTCTCCTCTATATTTCTTCTTCCTCCCTCTTTCAGTTTCAATTTTAGTTTCAAAGAATTGCGTTTATTCTTTTTTTTTTGACAGCATCACGTATAAATAAAATGGATGAGGCTCCAATCCACGCTGGGAAGTCGCATTTTTGCGACTTCCCAGCGTGGATTTGCCAGCAAAGCTGTGGTATCACCGGCAACGATTGCCCACTTCACTGAACCAAATGCCGCCGCTGGTCGTATTGCCGTTCCTTTTCCCTTTGCCGCTCGTCGTATTCACGCTGCTCCTCGGAAGTCCTAACTATGCGGCCTAGCCCTAGCGGTGCCGCAACAACAATGGAATCAGTTGCCTGGCGGGTTCTTTTTTTAAATACAAGAGGCGAATGAAGTCATTCCCCACGTTGCAGGCTGCCGTCGCTGCGATAGTTTGCGCAACAGTAGTCCTCACCGGGAAGCTTATGCGGTAAGCATACGTGCTTTTTCATCAATTATCCGGTTCGGATCCTTGTTCTTGTGCTTTTTCTTTATTGAAACGAATGCTGTGCTGTACATTGCATGCGTGATGTATGCACTCTTCACTTCAATCGCTGAAGGTTGTTTTTTTTTTTTCGTGGGGACGCTGACACTAAAAAGTCCGACCCACGAGTCATATACATCTTCGCTGTAAAATGTGCGTGACGCTGTAGCAAAATATTGATTGGGAAGTCTTTTGACACCACAATAAATTGTCTAACAAAAATTTAATAAAAACTGGGGGAGGGGGGGGGGTGTCCCTTTAAGCAAATTTTGGGATAGTTCAGCTGACTTGTGGGAGACTGACACACTGACATAGGGTATGCTGAGATGTTACGTCACAAACAAGCTTAGCGTTGTGGGGGAAGTAAACAGGTATTGGATGGCAATCCATATGGTTCGATCGAGAAAATGAAGCCTCGTTTTTCGGATCACATATGTTCATTACGCACCGCAGAAGGCTCAAGCACTGCCAGAACATGACGCTATCTGTGGGGATAGGATTCGTATGTTTAAAAACGAATGTTACCTAGTTCGAAACATAAAAGGAAACTATGAAGTTTTTTTATGAGCCGCCGTCCACCAAAGCCTTTTTTTTTTGTCAAAATACGAATTGATATTGCGGGCGTCAGTGGAATTTGTTTAATGGAAACAACTTGCCAGCAAGAAACAGAACAATATTCACTTTTTTACTAGCAAGTTTCTTTTGCTGAAATACATGCATGAAGTAAAATCAATGTTTGTTGTTTTTCTTTTTTCTTTCACGAAATTAATTTTAAATGGACGTTGGCTCGCAAAGAATTTTTTTTTTACCTTTTTATTTTTTGCTTCATGAAACGTCGTGTTCTCCAATTTTCTCAGTCTATTCCCACATTCTAGCTACACAATCTGGCTGTATTTCAGCTTTTTGCAATATGTAGTTTTGTTATGCGGTCCGAAAAACCGGGTTTCATTTTCTAGATCCATCTGGGTAGAACACATCGCGGTGGAAAACGCGTTCTAGGCGGCTCCAGAACGCCGAACTCATACTCCCAGTCAAGTAAGCTGCTCTAGATTAGAAACCCTCACCAAGTCCCAGAGCCCGATGTCGAGGCGATCGTAGACGTAGGCCAGGACAAACGAGGCTGTCGGGAACACGAGCGTCGTAGAAGCGGCCACCGTCACCGGAATGGCGAAGTAGAGCGGATTCACAGGGACCTTGACGGCCTGGCCGGAGCGGTAGGACATGCAAGAGACAAGATGGGGGAGAGACAGAAGTATGACGAAGGGTAGTCACCACACTCAAAAGCGTGAAAGCACTTTCAGAAGCGTGAAAAAGAACTCACATTCTCTTCCGCGCAAAATCAATTCTCAGCAAAAAAAAAAAAAAAAAAGAAAAAAAAATTCTAATCTTAAACTAGGTTGAAAGCAAAATAATAAGGGCAGATGGGTGATCGAAACAAAATCTTATAAAATAGCAGGATATTTTAGTCGATGCATTTAAGTGGGGAAATTAAGTAAAATAGGAATGGCTGGTAAACTACAAAGCTTAAATGTAGTCATTGACAGCTAAACAAACGTAGTGCATGGAGAGTCTCCAGCACCGTATTATCGATCCGCAACCAATCAAATGGCGGCGTTATAAATGAAAATGCCGAGGAACGAATCACAAAAGCAAGGGGTGTTTACGTAGTGAGCCACGCCTTGCCTTTCTTAAACCGTTGGTGACTCTAACCGCGACGCCCTCTTTCGTGTTAAGCTTGATACTGCACCACTCATATCAGGGCGCCCTTGGAATCACCGCGTTGCTACCCGATGATCGTGGGACACATTGGACTTAATCCCATCCTGCTTTCCGCTGAGCTATTTCAGCCGCTAGGGTTAGTTGGCTACACCAATCAAGTTTGCGAACAACAAAGAATGGATGGATTGGTATGCGACGTGGACGGACAGAGCGTGGGAATAACGATATTGTGATCGCTGAATTTGTCTGTAATAGAGAGATGAAGCCTGTATTCTCTAATTCGGCATGCAGATATGGCTGGTGTATAGTCTCTCGCAGCTCAAGAAACGCAGGTTGTGGCTCATCGTGTTCATGCTTCTTGCGTCGTCAGGGGTCGTTGGACGTTCTTAACGGTTGATGCCGCAACCTGATTGATTGTGCAGCTTTGACGTCATAATCAGGACTGCCACGCCATATACGTTTCTCAAGCCGTCAGCGACTACCGCCAGTTGGAACGAGGTCAATGCTCGGGTAACGACAGTTTAAAATAAATTGGTTATCAGAGTTCAGTCATGTAAAACAAGGAACAAGTCGATGCGCGATACAATTTACATGCCAAGTTAGATTTAACATTGGAAACATACGTGCATATTTTGGAGGTTTTGAAGGACATTTTGTGGTGGTCTATGCACAAAGGGCGCCATAAAATTTGAGCTCTGGCGCGTGTCTTCCGCATTGCTCACAGTTTTATAAGTAATGTATACGCTTTGTCTTACTTTCTGTTTCATAAATATTTTAGTCGTACGTGGAAATTGCTATCTTCTCCTCCTGCACTTTTGCGCGTTCTACAACTGAAATTTCGACCGAGCGTCCTGCTCACCCGTACTAAAATATCAGATCGGAGCGGTTCCAGTTCGGATCCGCGGGGTTCTAAACTTGTGGACAGTCCTTATCCGCGCGATTCTGTGTTCAACCAGTCGGATCCAGTGAGAAGCAACGCACTGGAATCGCACGGTGATCGGTGAATCCGATCCGCTCTTCTTGTTCCAGTAGGGTCTGCATTCATCCAGCGGGCGCGCACATGCGTGACTGGAAGGAGGGAGGGAGGGGTGGGTGGCGGGAAGGGGGGGGGGGGGGGGGGGGGTTGGCGGGTCGGCGGAGAACTTCCGCGGTCTCTGGCATGGCACGTGTTAAGGACAGGCGCATCCGCTACGTGGGCGCAGCGAGCGGGCGTTCTCCGCGCGCGCGCCTGGCTTTGTCTCTGAGAGTTTCGTTTGTTCTTCGCTCTCGTCGGACGGTTGGTCGGCACTCGACCGACGGCGACGTTCGCGCTGCGGGCGCATGGATACTGACGCGCCCATCGTTTCCCTGGATGGATACCCACTGGCCTTGGCTTTGAATCTTGATATAGTGTGAAGTTACCGACCCATTGCAGTTTGGCTCGGCATTTGGATGCGCTGGTGTACTTGGTGACAATACTTGGAGAACTCGGATACCGCTTGCCGCCGGAACTTCCCGATGCACTCAACACTGGATACTGTGCTTGCGCGTGCTGTATGTGTGTCCCTTGCACTGTATTTAATGACGACGCGACGACGCCTGGACGACCGTGTGCGCCGCCATAATTACCTCTGCGCTGACCACTGAACTCTACAAAGGTCTTTCTTGCGATGCCCTTAGCCGTAACAAGCGAGAGATCGTCGCGATTTCCGACCCAGTCCGCCTGGGTTTGAAATCACGACGATCTCTCGGTTGTAACGGCTAAGGGCATAGCACGAAATTCTGTTGTAGAGTCCAGGGTGAGCGCAGCGGGAATTCCGGTGGTGCACCGCCTGGGTTAAAAATTGGGGCTGGAAATGCGCGGCTCCATGCTGGGTACAAACTTGTGCCCCAATTTTGGGTCTAGGCGGAACAGGCATTTTTCATTCCGGCCTGAATCTGACTTTTTCGTACGGGCAGTGAAAACCAGATTTGTGACTGTGGCTTAGCAGGACGACAAACCCGGTTCCGAAAATGGCAAGGTCACAAGGCTCAGAACAGCACTGGCTTACGCGTTTCTAGAGCGCACCGCGCGCTGCATTATGGGACGTTTGCCAGCTAAAGCTAACGGGGAATTTTTAACGCTAAATTTAGCGGGGAAACTTTTTCGCTAAATTTAGAGGAGAATTTTCCCGCTAAGTTTAGCAGGAACATTTTTTCGCTAAATTTAACGGGGGAATTTTCCCACTAAAAATAGTAGCGGTAAACTTAGCTGGACATTTTCTCGCTAAATGTAACTTGAAACATTTTCTCGATGAATGTAGGGGGAAAATTTTCCCGATAAATTTAGCGGGGAAATTCAGCAAAAATTTCCTGCTATATGGCAGGTGAGAAGGAGCGGATGGTACGGAAGGTACGGAGGGGGAGGAGAGGCATACCCTCCCCTCCGTACCCTCCCCTCCTTTTATTCAAACGCTGAGCTCTAATTCAGCATTACGGAGAATCGTAAACTTTCCTTTTCCTTGGACATCGGTACGTCCAAAGTTTAAAGTAGAATATCGAGCGTTAGTAACGATTTATCGGCACTCCCAAGTAGCGCAGTGCCGCTTCGCCGATTAATATTTCTTTGACGTCACGGTCCAAATCGCGATAAATCGTATTGAATTACCATAGTTGTTGCGCTCGCAACACAAAAAAAAAACTGTGAGAAAAATGACAACCGCTTCGCGCGCATCTTTAGCCACAAATAAACAGAAATATAATGCAATTGCACGATAATATTGGAGTTTGCGTGAGTGCTGCATAGTCCCAATGTTAGGTTGAAAGGTGGAAACATGTTTGGCGTAGCTCGTGCTTGAATAGTATACTATAGTGGCACTAAATAACCTACGCTTCAGAGTAACGACAGTTGGCCATGATGTGGCTTAAACTTATGGTTGCCAGTTATCTGAAGCTTTATCTGGAGTCACAGGAAACGCTTCTCCGTCCCCCACAAATGTTTAAACAGTTCGCGACAGATCAAAGCAATATCACATAAATTTCCGAACCTCGAATCTGACGCTGAGGAAGTCGCACTTTTGAATCATGACGATCGACAGTTGCGTCTGCTCTGCACAAGAAACAAAACGGCGGCGCCCACAATAATGTCGTGGAACAGAGTGCCGATATTCTAAGCGCAGCTCATTTAGTGGCTCTAGTATATTTGTGTGTTGTTTCACCAAAATTATTTTGCTCCATAAGCTCTCGACGGCACCGTACAGGTAGCGCTATAAAAGAGCTCGAGAGCAAGGTGAGCACTTTGCCAATTGCCTCCCAATGCACGGCATAGGACGAAGTGCTTGGGCAATACCACATAAAAGACAAGGCCTACGCTCTACGTCATCATTATTGGATTCCGGTCTTGTCCCAAGCGGCAAACACCCTGAAGCTTTCGCGGTCAGTCTTTTACGCCACCGCACGTGTCTACAAGCGATGGACACCATCTTGGCGCGATGAAAAGGGGCGTAAATTATAGGCCCAAGTCCACATGAAAGAGAAGTAATGTCAGATGGCATTTCGCGAGCCTATAAAATCGATGTTTTTCTTTTTCTTTTTTTCCTTTTGGCGTCACCCTTTAGGGTTAATGGCCAGAGTCTGTGAGGATATGGCCAGAATAGACAACAGAAAACAAACCGGCGACTTTTTATTGCGAGATTAACGTACGGTGCAGTCGGTTGGCGTGGGTGTTGGGTATGTTTCGGCACGAGGTTCGTGCAATCACGAGCGCTGGGGAGTTCGCTTCTGAATGATTAAAGGGGCCCTGCAACGACGTTTTTTGCTGTTTTTCTTAGTTTTTGCCGAACCAGAGCGCACTGGAGGTAGTAACTGAATAATCTTTATGCTTTCTCAGAATGTGCTTTATTTTAACAATTATATGCAATTAAAATTTAAAAAAAAAACAAGCAAAAGATAACATTCTTCATGACGTCCTTGGTACTCTATACCCTCTTTTCCCGCGCCCGAGGGATCCCCTTCCTACGGGGACTGAGGAATGCGGGGAGGGAGGGGAAGACGGGGAAAGGAGGTAAGGCCGAGGAGAGGAGCTGGCCAGCAACGGGGCAGCTCTCTCTCCTCGGCTGACGTCAAGACAAAAAAGCGTAACGATTTCGTCACATGCCGCGCGCGTTCGACACCCCGGGGCGCCCCCGTAGGAGGAGGAGGTTTCGGCGGCGTCCGGTTAAAATATGACGCAGTGATATTTAGTTACTCTCTCCGTCAACGCTGGGCTGCCCGAACCACACGAGACGTGCAAACCACAAAAAAGATAGTCCCTTAAACAGGATTGCAGGGCCCCTTTAAGCTTGCATACGTGCAAACATCTAACGTGCCTAAGATAACCCTCAGTCACTGACCCGTTTAACCTGAGAAATGCGGCTATTTAATGAAGAACTGCGTTTCTACGCACAAGTGACTTTGCTCGAGACGGTGTAGCGTTTAACTACGCTGCGAAAAGTGACGTCGAGATGCGACCGTCAGTAGACACCCATTCCCGTATTTTCACTTGACA